CACACAGTTTTATTGATGTTGAAAACTTATACCTATCAGATACAAGTTATTCACAGTAATGTAAAGTTATTAAGATGTTAACATAACAAAATAGATACTTCGCACCCAAAACATAAACTTGGTGTTCAATATAAGTTGCTGATGATACCAGCTGGTAGACAGACTGCTTGAGAACCTTAGCTGTTATCCTTGTTAAAGGGTTTGACCAAGGACCAGTTGGTAGATAATTTCCTCAAAAAATTAAGTTGATATCATGTAAAATCATTGCTAAGAGGTTTATATCCAAGGACCAGCTGGTAGACAGGATTCTCTAGAACCTCAGCTGTTATCCTTGTAAGATCATCGTCAAGAGGTTTGACAAAGAACCAGTTGGTAGACAGGATTCTCTAAATTCTTGTAAGATCATCGTCAAGAGGTTTGACAAAGAACCAGTTTGTAGACAGGATTCTCTAGAACCTCAGTTGTTATTCTTGTAAGATCATCGTTAAGAGGTTTGACAAAGAACCAGTTGGTAGACAGGATTCTCTAGAACCTCAGTTGTTATTCTTGTAAGATCATCGTCAAGAGGTTTGGTCAAGGACCAACTGGTAGAATGATCTTGGAGAACCTAAGTTGTAATCCTTGTAAAATCATCGTCAAGAGGTTTGGTCAAGGACCAACTGGTAGAATGATCTTGGAGAACCTAAGTTGTAATCCTTGTAAAATCATTGCCAAGAGGTTTGGTCAAGGACCAACTGGTAGAATGATCTTGGAGAACCTAAGTTGTAATCCTTGTAAAATCATTGCCAAGAGGTTTGGTCAAGGACCAACTGGTAGAATGATCTTGGAGAACCTAAGTTGTAATCCTTGTAAAATCATTGCCAAGAGGTTTGGTCACAGACCAGCTGGTAGAATGATCTTGGAGAACCTAAGTTGTAATCCTTGTTAAAATCATTGCCAAGAGGTTTGGTCACAGACCAGCTGGTAGAATGATCTTGGAGAACCTAAGTTGTAATCCTTGTTAAAATCATTGCCAAGAGGTTTGGTCACAGACCAGCTGGTAGAATGATCTTGGAGAACCTAAGTTGTAATCCTTGTTAAAATCATTGCCAAGAGGTTTGGTCACAGACCAGCTGGTAGAATGATCTTGGAGAACCTAAGTTGTAATCCTTGTTAAAATCATTGCCAAGAGGTTTGGTCACAGACCAGCTGGTAGAATGATCTTGGAGAACCTAAGTTGTAATCCTTGTAAAATTACCAAGAGGTCTGACCAAAGACCAACTGGAAGACAGGATTCACCAGAACTTAGATAGTTGTCATGTAAAATCATTGTCAAACATTCCAATCAAGGGTTAACAGGTAGACAGGATTAATAATCATGAGAACTATCTTAAGATTATTTTTGTTTTCCTGGCAAACACGTTAATGGGTTACCAATAGGTTTGAAACGATTCACCTAAAATAATTTCTTATGAAATAAAGATTTTTTCGTTTTTTTATCCTATATCTATGACCTAAGAAAAAGATTAAAGATAAAATTTGAAACACCTCAGTCAATCTGTGAGAGAGAATGTGACCTATGACACACCTGTGACAGGTAATAGCTCGTTAATTACAGGTAAAACAGGTAGAAAGGTCAGACTTGAAGAAAGATGAAAGCAAGATGTTTTACATGACTGGTAACAACACCATAACATCTTCTACATCACTCACAGTGATAAAATCATTAATTTTTATTCTTATAATCTTAGTTTAATACTTAAGTTAGACGTAAACTCAGGAATTAAAGAGATTGTAAAGAGGTTTTCTAAACTTTTTATGTGTATCAGGGACACTGATAGCATCAATTTACACCATTCCAATATCATTCCATCATCTGTGATTCTTGTAATTCCACTAAAACTAACATGTTTTATGACATCGCTAGAGGGGTGCTACCAGAAGTTACTATTGATAATGCACTTCACAATCACAGACGTCGAAATGAAAATTAGAATGGTGTAAATTGATGCTATCAGTGTCCCTGATACACATAAAAAGTTTAGAAAACCTCTTTACAATCTCTTTAATCATTCTCATCCATACAGCAATTCTCCACAGTATCTATACACTTCATTAGTATTAATGAGGATCCTGTCTACCAGATGGTTCTCTAGGTTTTTTCTTCCAGCCAATGTTGGTCAATTCTCTTGCCATTAACATCCTGATATTCTGGAGTAAATTGATATTTGGTTTGTCATGTTATTTGTAATCCACCTGAGTAATATTACTATATCATTGTTTGAAAGTTGGTTTAGAGCGTTGGTTCTTAACATGACGCCATTTGTTTGATTACGTCGAGTGAATGGAGGCTGTGGGTTCCAATCTATATCAGTGTGTGAAAGTCCGATGACTTTGAATAAGTCATCTTCACTCATAATTCCAGTCGACCCAGCTGGATTATTCGTGAAAAATCAATGGTAGAAAGGATCCTTAACTGTGAACCTAAGACATCATTGTAAAATATAGTTGGTTATTTCTTTTTCCTTCTTTTCCGACTACATTTGAAGGAAATATCAAGATATGATATTACTCATAGATTACTCATTGTAATAATCTGTATAGTAATCAACCCATGATTCAAATCTTAATAACTATGATATTTTTCCACACCCCTCTTCAAAGTTTTATTTTAGTTGCAAAATTTACCGTGCTAGTTCCAAATGGAGGACAAAATTACTGAATCAGTTTTCAGCCCAAAAAGAGAAAATAGAAAAATATTTATTTCTTTATATAAAACATTCAGCCTATTCATTTTCCTGCAAGACTGAATAAAATTCAAAAGTTACTCTCAACTATTTAGTGAATTCTACTTGATGTGTATAAATTCTACATCAGAAGTTACAAGAGAGGGAGCATGCCCTTCCCTGCTAGCACAATTCCTCCACTTCATCTCTTGCCATATGGCAGTTGGCTAGCTTCAGATTGATGTTATTTCCTAGTCGGAATAGATGCCATAGCCTAATCTCAAATCTCCTTGTTCTTAAGTTTCAGATATCACAGTCAATTCTTTCAGGAGAATGGCCCATGTCATCTCTCAACCCTTACCAACAAGACCACTTGCAACATTGAGATAAATATATAGATGACAGACTATACAAATTTGACTTGATAATATTATGTAGGTGTATATAAATAGTTGACATTCCAACTAATAAAAATACATAACATTAAATGTCAGGATTTTTATAATATCATTGTTTTACTGTCAACACCACATTTTTAAAATATTCTGTCTAATGATAGCTGTTAGCTAGATATGGATAGAAATCAGTACAAGCAAGACAATTCCTTTAATCAAAAATCTTGACCAAAGAATGGCAAAAATCAGGAGTAAAGGTAAAGGTAAAGGTAAAGGTGATATCAGACACTGCTTGCTGCTTCTAGTATAGGGCCTAGATTTTTTAACTTGGTTCCCCCATTCCCCGATAGCAAACCCTGCAGGCAATGCTTCCAATATATCTAGATGTTTCTACCTGGTTTCCCTCGTCAACAATGCAAATCAGAAGAGTTTACATGAAAAACCATTGGAAGCCATAAATCAAGTAACTGTTTGAGCAAAATTATCTATCTTTATGCAGTCATCTCTATGCAGTAGCTAGGGATTACTGGATAGTAAAAATCAGTAATCATTAAAGAACCCCACAATATAACTATAGAGAGATAACATAGGGGTTATTCAACCATTTTAAATATTACAACAGTGAATAGTACAGTAGATATATATAGGTGATATACATTCAAGTATATTGGATCAGCTAGATATAACCTAAACAATCTGTTAATCCTTTGAACGCAATCAACCCCTCTACTGGCTGTATCATGTACATAAAATAAACTAGAGCTTACTCAACTACTCATACAGAAGTAAGTTTGACTAATGTTGAACATATTTTGTATTTGGAATGACAGTCCAATTTTACTTGCCTGTTTTGATAGCATAAATGTAGCAAGTGGTTGCTTAGCAAGATACGCTCACTTTCCTAATACATTTTCAGTATATCTATTTGTCCGACGGACGGACAACGCTATAATGTGGATGTATAAAAAACAATCAAGAACACCTAATGACACTCTAGCGCTTGGTTTGTACACGTGCAGAGTTCATATAAAAACAATCCATACAAGAAAGATAATTCTGTTAATCAAAACTCATTAAAAGTATGGCAAAATCAAGAGTATAGTCATCAGGTGTTTCAAAAGAGTAAGCATAACTATCAATATTTTTTCAATGACTCTTGTGGACAGGATTTCTCTTAAGAATATGAGCTCTATAGAGCTAGACAAGTGATGAAGGGCATGCTTACACTTCCACAAGACCTGTTGCTATCACCCATCACAGATTGAATGAGTTATCAACCTTACATCTTTAGGGAAAGGACAGTACAGGATGGTAGGGTACTTAAATAATTCAAACTAGTTTCTTAAATGAAATAGCAATCGCTTCAAAGAATATTAATTTTTTTTTTACGTCTGTAAGATCCTTTTATTGAAGTGTGGCCACATTTTTCCAAATAAGGGCAAAAGTGTGCATTGTGTACATGAATGAGTTGTAAACTTGGCATCTTTTAGTAGAATCCAAATATATCTAATTAATATAGTTTATTTTGATATTAATTTGTAAATAAATAAACACTATATATTACTATAACAGTCTCTGGGTCAAATAGGTCTTTAGGTCAGCATGAAGTAGACATCAAGTTATTATCAAGTGACCCTTACCTTAGTCTACAAGGGTTCTTATCATATAAAGGGCTAGCCCTTGTTATTCACTTGATTTAAGCTCAATAAATTCATATTTCTACAAAGTCACATGTCAAAATTCAAATTGGTAACGAATAAGTTTTGTTATATATGGCCAATCTAAGAAATAAACATGTTTTGATGTGAAAATGTCTTTGGACAGACTGTTTGGAATATAATCTATTGTTTTTGTATACTGCAGCAAATAAGCATTGAAGTAAACTATCTTTCTTAAGAGCTCAAAATTTCCCAATAACATCTAGATTTAACTCTGTCCTATCCTGCCTTACCTAAAACATAATTAAAGCTAATTTACAGAATATGGTCTGTACAGAATAGCAGATATTTTCTGATGTGACATCTGGATAGTTATTTGTCTCCTTGGTGTGTGTTAGTGTATCTGTAAAATTTTTATAAAATATAAGCTTATTATTATGTGCTGTGTTTCTCCTTCACTAAGATTATTATAATATTTTCATAAGGTGTTAAAAGGATATTACAATAGGTGTTATTGTGTGTTCAACAGCAATTAGGTATAACACCTTACTAACTGGTTTATAACAACTAACCTTATATAAGTAATTACCTGTAATTTTTGGTAATTATCTACAAAGTGTTTACAAAGTAGCAACATTGCCTGTTTTCTTCTTTAATTAATCTTTTTAATGGCCTCCAGATATTTTTATTTTCTTACAAACTTAATGATCTTTCTCTGAGGGCAAATTTAATGTTTTTAAATCTTAATGTCGTTAAGGTAAATGTGATAGATCTTGCAGTTTTTCTTGTTTCACTTTTCATTAAATTTTGTAAAAATAAATTGTGATCGATGTTCTGTTCTAGTAAATAAGATATTTTTCAAATTAGTAATTATGAGTAATAATGAATGCTTCCTTTTAAACTATGTCTAGTAGCATACATATTTGTGTCATGACAATAAAAATAACTGACTCACCAATTTTTGATATCTGATACTACCACTTCTACGTAGAGTTCCACCTTTGACGACCTCATTTTGAACATCGATAGTTCCACCATCTTTACTGGGACGAACACTTAACTCCACCAATTCTGGAATTGGTTGAACACGAAGTTTGAGCACATCCTGGGCTTTCTTGATTAATATTACTATCTCCTCTCGTGTCAGATTTTCTACATTTACTCCATTAACTTCAATGAGTCTGTCACCAGGAATTAAACCAGTTTGATTAGATCTCGGTCCACTAGAGGGTTCTGCAAATGTGACCACTCGTTCTTCTGCTCCGTTTAAAACTGGGATACTGCCCTTCCGTAAGCTGAATCCAAAATCCCCCTCTGGTGTTCTCTTCACTTCAATATCTCTGACTCGAGGTGGTTTGGGTGGGACTATGGCGGGCAGCTCTAGTTTCTTATTGAACGTTTTCTCTTCGAGCTCCAGCGGAAAATCGTCTTGAAATTCTTCCAAGGTGCCATTTGATTGGTTCATATTTGTATTTGTTGGACCTTGTTGAAGTGATGACCTTGTTGTTGGTTTTGGTTTCATTCCGGCTGGAAGTGCCTGACCGACCATAATGCCTGACATTTCTTCATTCAGTCGTGTGTTTTCCTGCAGACGTCTTGAATCGTCTAGATCTGAATGATTAATGGCGGGTCTTCCTTCAGATTTATCCTTCAGAATTCCTCGGGTTTTTGGCTTTGGCAATATCGGGGGAGGTTTAGGAGAACTTAAACTTTGGGACTTTGTTAATGTGGCAGGTTTTTTGTCAGGGTTTTCTTTGGTAGGGCTGGGACGTCCAGAAGATCCACTAGCGCTAAGATTGCTTTCACTACTGTCGCTCTGGGCAACACCATCTCCACGCTGCAGATTGCTATGGTGACCTGCTGATTTAGTTTTATCACGATCACTAAATCGTCTGAACACACTATTTTTCAATTCTTCCAAATGTGACATTTCTTCTGGGGTGATATGTGGCCTTTCTTTCTGCTTGGCTTCCTTTTTTTCTTTCTTTTCTTTTTTGTCTTTTTCTTTTTTATCCTTCTTTTCCTTGTCCTTTTCTTTGTCCTTTTTCCTAAAGCTGAACATTTTGACTGGTCTAGACGAAAACTATTTAAAAACCTTTCTAATTGACTGAACTAGTGAACTAAAAACAAAAGTTCATTTCACACTTAAAACTATTCGAGTTTGTTTACACTTGCCGGACTTCAGTCGTTCAGAAATATGACAAGAAACTATGATGATCACAAGGCATAAAACCAACACAACTAATCTGGATTTGTCATTCAGTACATTCTACACATTTGGCATTCGTGGTTCCTTCTTTGTGCAAATGGCCGATTTCCTAGGTCGACTTCATTCCCCATCACACGATTTTAATTCGATCCATTTAATTTCACTCGGCATCAATGAAAAATGGCGTCTGTAATCCGGGTATCTGATACAGACGTTCACTTCCTGTTTCTCAACTTGACAGAGTTTTCTCCCTTTAATCATTTAATCTAAGAGTAGGGGCGTTTCTCAAAATCAGATAAATCCTTTCATAACCGATTAAATTGACAATGACATGTCTTTCTGTTCAACAACGGGAAATATATCAATGAAAAAGAGTTCCGATGATAAGATTATTTTTAAAAGTTGAGAAAAACAACCCTTACTAGTAGTAGGCTAAAATCAAAAGTATTAAAAAAATTATTTCTACAATATCATTATAAGCGATACAAATTTATATGAATAAAAAGAAATAAAAAGGTTAGCGTAAGAATTTGACCATAAAAATTTTTAAATCTTCGAAAATCGAGGTTTGAAGTTCGGACTAATTGTGGAAATTATTACACAGTATGATTCAACCAAAATTGTCTGTAGTCTTTTGAAATATAGAGTTATTTCCCTTTAGTTGTCCTGTCGCTTGAACGATTGAGCTACAGATTAGATACTGTTCAAGGTGGGTTTATACAGAGCGCGAACGCGAACGCGACCGGCGCGACCGCGAACGCGACTTTTCATCAGTTCAGTCATTCAAATAGAGCGCGAACACGAACGCGGAAAACCGTCGACGGCTTTCAATGCGGATCGCCTCTTTTGTTGTTAAAATTTGGTCATATGGTCATTTTGGAATCATCTCTCCGATTCCCTTCCAAATATCTTTCTTTTTTACTGTCTCTCTGTAAGTTTTTTCAGCTTTGTCAAACAAAACTGGATTCTTTTCAACTTCTGAAATCAAAATTTCCGTTTTATCCATTGTATGTACCCTACAAGCAAATTGGAAAAGCCATGTGCACAAGTTTCTATTTTAGGAAATGATGCAAGGGAGGTGGTACAAGCTGATTGGTTGATAGCAAGAAATCCGCCGCGACTTTCTGAAAAATTCGCTCTTGGGGCAATCTCGGCGGTCGACCGCGCGAACAAATATTTGTTCGCGTTCGCGTTCGCATTCTATTTGAACGGTCCCTCTATAAAATGATGAAACCATTCCATGACGAAAAACCCCGCGTTCGCGTTCGCGTTCGCGCTCTGTATAAATGCACCTTTACAATAGTTAACATGATTTAACCATATTGTTGTCTGTATTCTTCTGAATTATGCACTAATTTCCCTTAACTTGGTTTAAGAGAAAAAGGGTATAAGACCCGTCCCCCCTCTTTCAAATCACTACCCATATAGTAAAGTTAAAAAGAAACGACTGTGTCAAAATTTAAAACTACAAGTAGACCACAAGCCAAACTAACAAAATTTTATTATTTTACAAAATAGGAATTTATAATGTCAAGACTTTGGTTTTCATTCATTCCCATCTTTTCCAAACGATTCAATGCCGACTCTATATTATGTCCAAGAATACATTTTGTTGAAATATGCATTATTTCACTGTAAAAATATAACAATACTGCAAGAATATTCTTACTTATTGCATAGAATACAAGATTTAAGCTCTTTATTTTCAAAATTCCTAGCACCATTCAGACCACTGATACGAGGGGTCGGGAAAAATTGCTGGCTATCTTACTGAGTAGTCACCCTGACTAATTCCTAGTCTTCAGTCACCCCATATCACCCATATTCATATCACCCAATATTCATATCACCATATCTCACCATTCATATCACCCACCCATATTCATATCACCCATATTCACATCACCCACCCATATTCATATCACCCATATTCATATCACTATATTCATATCACCCACCCATATTCATATCACCAAGATTATCTTACTGAGTAGAGTCGCCAAGACTAATTTCTTGTCTCCAGTCACCCCATATCACCATATTTATATCACCACCCATATTCATATCACCATATCTCACCATTCATATCACTATATTCATATCACCCACCCATAATCATATTATATTAGAAGTACTAGAAATGTACGAAAATCGAATAATTCCTTTAAAAATATATCGAACTAGAAATTCACTTTCTATTTCTATATATACATGTCTTTTCTATATATGGTAGGGTCTCAAGAAAAGTCGAGTCGTCATTTTAACTATCAAACGTGGATAATTTTCGATATACATGGATTTGGAGGCTCAAATTTCGACGGTGAGCTGTGAACACTACTACTGATTAGCTTCGCTAAACCGTTTCTGAGACAAAGGTACGGTGGGCAAACGGATGACAAATCTGACCCTTTGAAATTGCAAATATTCAGCACGATTGGTGCAATAAGTTCGAATCCGTGATAAAGTTGTTGCCATTAAATATCATCGATAAATATTTTGAGGTAATATTTTGAATACGAAACACAACAAGAGATTTGTCCAGAAGAAAACAACTATTGGTCTTGTAGCCTACACGTTTTGTGTTTATAGTTCGAGTACTAATGCGTGTGTGACAAATCTACAGCTAGAATCAAACCATTACTTTAACTGAATCAGTGTTTTGGTAAGAGTGTGCAATGAGGGAAATTTTGCCAGGACAGTGGCATTAGCATATTCTTTTTCCAACTGTCGAGGGATCTCTTACGTTCACAACTTGTAGCACAAAATACAAGTCAACTCGTCTACATGTCAACTCGTCCACAAAATTTCATTGGTTAAGTCGTCTACAAAATTTAACATATTTATCTACAACATTTGCCGGGACATCGGTTTATTGTCCCACCCGACTAGTGCTTTGGGTTTGATTCCTTTTAAACCAACAATACATTTCATAGTTTCTCAATTGTTGCTCGAGATTTGAGTCCTTTTAATTCAATGAAAAATCTTCGAATGTATCCTCTAAATTTTGAAAAATAAAAGAATATTTCTAGGCTCATATTAATTATTAATCGACGCACCAGGATGAAATTCATTTAATACAATGACATATTGAATCTTAATTGGTACTGGAGTTCGAATCCAATTTTTCTAAACGATAGATCTCTGATAATAAATGTATATTTCCTCTGAATTAAAAGAAAAATAAGCGATTTTTGTTCATTTCAATCGGTGCTGTCGGTTCGAATCATCTTTATTAAAATGATAAATCTACGATCTATTAATATCTTCTATGATATAAAAGAAAAATACTGGATAATGAAAAATAAAAGATTATTGAAGTGTAATCGATGCAGTAAGATCAATGTAATTTAATCCACTATTTAATCCAATATTATTAATTGCCTAGTATCTCACTCAGTGCTGTGGGTTCGAATCCTATTCAATTAGATAATATTTCTACGTCTGTATTATATCATAAATATTACAAATTTTAATCGGTGTTTTGGGCTCAGTACCTCTAATCCAAAAACAATTTGTTTATTATCTCAATCAGTGCTGTGGGTTAGAATTCTCTTCAACTAGATAATAAATCTGCGAATGTATAAAATTCACTTAAAGAAAGACAAAAGACTTTTTAAATTTTAATCCAAATAATAAATTTGATTTGTGCTGTGGGTTCGACTCCTCTTCAACTTGATGATAAATTTATATCCTCTTAAATACGGAAGAAAATAAACGATTTGTTTACATAATATTTAGTTTATTTTATCACAAAGTTCAACATTTATACACAAAATAAAACATTGTTGTTAAATTCCGTTATATTCACACTTGATCATCGTGAGTTATTAAAAATATATCACAGTATATCAGAAATGCCTGGGCATTATCAACAATATATCACTTTTATTACTGGGCCAATTTGTAATAACTTTTAACACGAATAACACACTTGGTTAAAAATGAAGCGAATTTTAATAAGCGAAAGGATAAAACGTGGACGATGTAATCTGATACATTTGTAGAAAGTAAATAAATAAAATTTGGATGAAATCTTCTCATTGAGACTTGACGCTTTCAACTTAATCAAGTAAACTTCCACTCTACTCTGACTACAGCCGGCTACACGCGATTTCAATATTCTTATTTCTCCTAATTTCCACAACTATCTTTGAAAAATTTATCAAATTATTCCCAATTTATACCAAAATGTGTTCATTTACTTTGAAAAATTTATCCAGTTGTTTTTATATAAAAGTTTTAAATTTAATCACAGGACTATATTGTGCAAGGTGCGTGCGGAAGGATATTAGGAAGTTGTTAGGCTATATTTGTGTGCCGCCATTTGAAATGTATGTGGATGATTGTTGGTGAATTTTGTTAAGTTTTGCTTGGATTTGTGATCTAATTTGGATTATATCGGTTTAACGGATTAGGTATTCGGTTAGCTTAATATCTGAAGTAGCTCATGGAGCTAATCCTGTGTCGATCCTTTCCTTAGCTTTTGCAGGGAATCGATGGAAAGTGGCTCGAAGCACCGCAACCAAAGAATTGGACGTCGCGAAAGGGCCCAACTACAATCTGAGAGTGATTTGTGTAAAATGGGGGACGAAAGGGATGAATCCCCTCCCCGCACAAACAAAGACAAGGGTCGGGGAAAGACCCGGAGAAGACGGAATAGCTCCCCAAATATTTTTGAAGAAGATATTATCGATGGATTTGCCATTATGAGTTTTAAATCGTTTGAAGATCTCGAGGTAGGTTGACTTTATCTTTGTGTACATTGAACTAGTAGTTAGAATAATCAAAATTATCTAGCACCCTCCCACCACTTCATAATAGGTCCTTTCTTGTCAATTTTGAAATGAAAATTT